CAAGCAGCACTGACAGGTGCTGGAACCAAGTTCAATGTACCACATTCCCAGGCCCAGTCCACATCCACACCGAAGGATACTTTAGCCATTCCCAGCACAGTTTGCCACCCCATTCCAGCTCTTGCACTCAACAATTGGACCCACAGCCCAGCAAAGGAATCCCTTTTTCTCCCCTATCACGCCCCTTCTCAGCTACATATATTGTGTGTGCCAGTGGTGGCTCTGACCCAGCCTGGCATGGCCCATCACCCAGCTTGGTGTTTGCCATCAGATATTGCAGCCTGGCCTCAGCCCCAAAACTGTCTGGTGTGTATTGCTGCCTAGCCCTGCCCAATCTGTCCTCATCCCTGGCTCTCATGCAAACAGGCAGGTACAGAAGCCTAGCCCAGCATGAACCACACCACATCCTGGCTCCCACACATGCCAGTGTATGCTATGACTTGTCTTGGCCTTGCCCACTCCACTTCCTTCCAACCCCCCATTTAGCCCACACTCCTGCAAACAGTAGAGTAGCCCTGCCTTCTCTAGCCCACAGCCAGCCCCAACTCTTCTGTTTACCTGCAGGAGCTATAGCCTAGTAGGAGAAACCCCCAAATTTCCCCACCAGTCCTGCTCCCAGACCCAGATATCACACATATCAATGGGTGCTAAGGCCCAGCCCCACATAGTCTACTCCCTAGTCTTGGCCTTTGTGAGTGCTGGTAGATCCTGCATTCCATTCATCCCCACATGCAATTCTTGGTGCACCTGCAGGTGCTGCAGCTTAGACCAACCCAACCTGCTCTGAACCCCAGTTCTCAAGGTGTTGTTGAGTTCTGTGGTCATGCCTAGCTTGACTGTCATCACCCCCAGCTCTAGCACAGGCAAGTAGGTATTGCAGTCCCACTAGTTTTGGCCCATAAACTCCTCTTTGCATCTGTGTCCAGATCTAGTTCTCTTGCATGCCAGTTAGTGTCATGGCCCAGACTAAATGGCCTAAGCCCATCCCAGGATGGGCAGGGTGTGTATCCCTCCCACTTGGGCAGGTATCCTGGTCTGACCCACGCTTGTTCTCTAGCTTCCCCCTGCTTCCAAACTACCCAATCTTACTCCCCTTGTTTACCTGAAATTGCAACACTAGTGTATCCGGATGTCCCCAGCAAGTCATTCCTTACCTGTAATGTACCCTCACCCACACATCTGCAAAACCCCCTCCCAGGACATTTCATAGCTGCCATGTCTGCCACTTGGTGGATGCAGGTCCCAGGCCTGGCCTTCCAGTCATGCATTACATGCTGGACTGGGATACTGTCTGCCTTCTTAGGCTTTTATGTGCCTTCTAAGCCTGATTCTTACGCGGCAATGTTAGTGACTGTTGAATAAAGGCAGACATTTGTCTGAATAATGTGTAGTTGTTGAAAACCTCAATATTCTGGAAGTTCCATGTCTTCGGCTTTCAGGTCATCCATATGCCGAAGGGAAGCTGTTAAAAAGAACTCCAGGCAGAGTACCACCCTTCTCCCACCAGCTCTGATGGCTCCTGGCATTGCTCAGAGAGATAGGGCTGCATCCCTCTGTTCCCAGCTTCTGTCTGCATTAAGGGCTGTGTCATTTAAGCAGCCACAAACCAGTTCAAAAATAGGACCCATCGGCTTTCAGGCTTCATCCTCATACCCGAAGGTAAGCAAGCACACAGGTGGACAGGAAAGTGGCTTTAGAGGCAATAAAGTTTACAGCCTGGGACATGGGGACGTCAGTGCTGGCCTTTGTCATGTTTCCCGGCTGGTCTGCTGGGCAATCAACAGCAATCACACTCAGGAGTAGGAGTGCTGATGGATAGAAGGGGTTCTGGTAGGTTACCATCACCTCTGGACTGAAAAGCTAGGAAGAAACTTCATTTTCTTCTTTTCAATGTAGTAGAACAACTTAACATGCTGGGTTTCCTTGTTAGACTCAGCAGATGAAGCAAGCTGGTAGTATTGATTCAGACTGAAGAGATCATCTCAATCTGGGTTTGTGCAGATTCACGGTCTACATGTAATGTGACCTAATCTGACCCATCTCCTGGAACTCTCCAGTTCCACAGGTGCACACAGACTTCTACTTTGTGAACTGGCATAGAAACATTTCACAGAATTGCACTTTGCACTGCGATGTTCTATTGCACTGATGTTATAAAATGTTCAAAGTGCAATATATATTATTCTTCTAAGGCAAATCAAAGGTAAATTTCTTAAGGCTTTTGCTGCTTCTTTGTCCAGTAGCCATGAAACCTTTTCTACATTTGTGATAGACAAAAATAAACCAGGCCTTAACTCCTTTTTGGAAAAAAAAAAAATTTAAACCATGCACCAGGATTTTTGTCAAAATTGTAGCATAAGTTAAATTGTGTTCTATTAGACAAAAAGAGTACATTTCTGTAAGCACAGGTACATTGAAATAAAGTTTTAAAAAAGAAAAAAGAGGTGTTTGAGTTCTTTGGTTGGTTGACTGGGGTAGACAGATCTAACTTTCGAGTGTACCTGGGTATGGTCCTTTTATTTGCCTAAGTCAGAAAGGGGAGCAGCCTAACAGGGTACATGTGGGTCAAGACCAGGACAAGCACTCTCCAACTCTGGTCCCTGACATCTGAGGCCCTGATGTATTTTTGAACCACCAGAATGTGAAATCACTGTTTGCTTGTCAATGCCAAATGTCATTAGTGAGATCAGGTACAATGCTAAACAGGCCTCTTGATCATGTGAACAGCCTCTCGATCATGGAGAGGACACAGGCAGCAACACCCCAGCTTCATCCCACAGCCATGGCTCACAGCTGATCCAGGCCACACAGCAGAGCCAGGCAGCAGCCTCAGACCCCAGTCCATGGAGTATGGCTCACTGCCACCCCCAGCCCAGCTGGCTGGCATGCCTCCCCCTGCCCTGTCTCCAAAGAAACAAAGGAGGGAAGAAAAAAGAAAGTGAAGTGAGAAAATACCAGAGTAGTATCTAACTGTGTCTGAGCAAGTGCAGAAACAAGGCACTTTGAAATGTACACAACACTGAGTATCTCTCCACATGTGTAACTCACTGTTTCCTTTGCTTTTTTTTTTTTTGCCAAAATTAGCATGTGTGCTCTAAAAAAGGAAAACAGAAGTTTTGAAAATTTGTATCCACCATCATAAATTTTACAGTTTCCAAATACTTGCAACCTTTTCTCTTAGAATTTGCGATATTACAAAACATAACTAATTTTCAAATTAAGTGTCAACAGGAGAAAACCTAAGTAATATGATCACACAGTGTGTTACAGTACTTTCTGAAGTCATGCATTAGCAAAATCCATTCAGTGTGCAGGATGAACCCGTGAGTTTTAACACACCAGAAAACCAAATATCCCACAGTAGGGCTTCAGCTTCTCCCTTTCAAATAACCTTAAAAGCTGGCACTTGATCACTTTAGTGTATGATCAAAGGTGAATAGTCACAATTATTTGAATACATTATTAAGGTATTCCTCCTACATGTTTGGTGTTGAGTTTCTTTTTTTATATATTACAACAGGGAAAGGAGAAGTTAAATGTAGAGCAAAAGTGAAAATCCAGTAATCTTCTACTTAAACAGACAAAATGAGCTGCAAAGAGGCAAAATGTAAAGATTCACTCTTCTCACTATCCTGTTTGCTTTGGAAATAGTTATTTCTCTCTTTTTAAAAAAAAAACTATTTTTTTAAAGATTTATTTTTATTATTTTTTTATTGGAAAGGCGGATATATAGAGAGGCGAGACAGAAAGGAAGATCTTCCGTCCGATGATTCACTCCCCCAGTGAGCGCAACAGCCAATGCTATGCCGATCCGAAGCCAGGAGCCTCTTCCAGGTCTCCCACACGGGTGCAGGATCCCAAAGCTTTGGGCCGTCCTCAACTGCTTTCCCAGGCCACAGGCAGGGAGCTGGAAGGGAAGCGGGGCTGCCAGGATTAGAACCAGTGCCCATATGGGATCCCAGGGCGTGCAAGGTGAGGACCTTAACCACTGCGCCACTGCGCCAGGCCCAATAGTTATTTCTCTTAAAAACAGTATTTGTTTAAAAGATCAATGGGATATTTTAAATGAGTTAATCATATTAAATGGCTTCAATTTCTGAACTTGAGGTTATTGGTACATATAACCCAAGTTCTTTTTCTCTTGGACTCATCACTAATTCCAAGGAACATAAAAAGATTCGGAAAACAAAGCGTCTAAGAACCTCCGATGTAGTCCCAAGTCGACTTCAGAAAGATTGCGTGGAAAGAGCCAGGGCAACCCTGGAATCGAAGGCTCAGATCCCAGAATGGTCCTCAGGATCTCAGTCCCAGGGCTGGTCTGTGCTGGGGAAGCCAAGCAATGGGCGGGTGGGGTTTGAAAGGAGTCTCAGTCTGCCGATACTAGTGAGATTCCCTCTAAGAACTGGGGTCAGGTCCTTCTGTCATGATACTAGAGACACATACTCAGGTCACACTCCCATTGGGCAGCCTTCTTCTGGGAGGGCCAATCATCTCGCGACCTTTCCCTCATCCATTCCTCCCAAACAGGCCTAAGGCAACTCGGGCCTGGGGGCTTCGCACCTGGTGGATTTCAGCCTCTCTCCCCCGAGGCTCGCGTATTTCAACACTGCTGTGTCCCTCGGCCAGGCGGAGCCCTGCTTCATCTCCGTGGACTACGTGGACGACACGCGGTTCACCAGTTTCCACAGCCGATGCCGAAGACCTGAGGATGGAGCCGCAGGCAACCTGGATGCAGGAGGTGGAGCAAGAGTACTGGGACCCCTATACAGAACGCCAAGAACAGAGCACAGCTGTATTTTGGCAACCTGGACACCCGGAGTGGCCACTACAACCAGAGCAAGGCGGATGAGTGATCATATTGCAAGCACAATTGCTCCCCCATCAAAGGTTGTCAGTCGCCTCAGAGCTCTACCCTGAGACCCGACAAATGTGCCCCAGAAACATATCAAGAGTCCGGGCATTTGCTTGGGTTTGTTTTTCAGTTTGGAAAATAAACAGCTCTGACCTTCATCATTTATCATACCCTTATGGGATCAGGACTGGGTGTATTTTTCCACGGAGAAGGGTGGGGCTGACCACATTGCCCTGTGGGTTCAGGCTCTTACATTTTCAGGCGATGTTCGGCTGCGAGGTCAGGGCAGACAGGCACCTCCTCCGCATATATAGTCAGCATTCCTACAATGGGACCGACTGCTTCACCCTGAACGAGAATACACTCACGTGGACCATGGTGGACACCATGACTCACATCTCACGGCCCAAGTGGGATGCACAGCAGTGCACCTTCTACCTGAACAACGAATGTGTGGAGTGGCTGCGCAGATTCCTGGAGATGGGGAAGGAGGAGCTGCAGCGCACAGGTGCCTGGGACCCAGGGCTCCTCTCTGTCACCTGCACGTCTCCCAGCCTCTTCACAAAAGTGAGATTAAGCAGTACCCAGGTTAGATCATTGCTCTCCCCCGACTAGAGAGGGGCAAGAATCCCTCTAGCTTTCTAGATCTCTGCAACATCCTTAAGGGTTCAGTGGCTCCACTGATGGAAAGCAAGAACTCCCTCAAATAATCAATCAGTAGACCCCTTTGACCTTGGATGTGCTGGGCCAACACACAAGGTCTCTGGAGATCGACTCCAGCTTTCCAGTCTCTCAACTTGCACCAAATGTAGGACTTAAACTCCCTCTCAGAAACTAAAGCTCCATAATTTATGCTGTCTGATTCTGACTCTAGAACTTTCCAAGGAATGGAAGATTTTCCTAGCTATCTGAGTCCAGGCTGCTGTCTGAGTTTTGCACTCACTGGCTCATTCCTACTCTCCTGACCATTCTCAGGATGCTCATGAGGGCTACCTCAGCATCCAAGGGAAATGGAAAAAAAAGGCTGAATTTTCTGAAACTTCCCAGACCCACCCACAGCACAATTGAGCTATCACCAAGTCTCTGACCAGAAGGTCACCCTGAGGTGATGGGTCCTCGGCTTCTACCCCAAGGACATCACACTCACCTGGCAGTGGGACAGAGAGGATCTAACCCAGGACACAGACCTGATAGAAACCAGGCCTGCAGGGGATGGAACCTTCCAGAAATGGGCAGCTGTGTTAGGGCCTTCTGGAGATGAGAACAGATACACATGGCATGTGGAGCATGAGGGGCTGCCTGAGCCCCCTCACCCTGCGATGGGTTAAGGAGGGCAGAAGGGAGGGGGTCTTATGCAGGGGCAGAGCTGAGACCTGGGCTCAGAGCCCCTCACCCTCCTTTCCCTTCTCAGAACTTCTTCAGACCATCAGGCCTACGTGGGGAAGTCGTCACTGGCATGGTTATTCTGGCAGCTGTGCTCACTGGCTCTGTGGTCACTGCTGTGATGAGGAGGCGGAAGAGGAAGAGCTCAGGTACGGCAGGGTAAGGGTGGGTCTGAGTTTTTGTTGTACCAGAGAGAAAGCACCAATCACACACACAGACACATGCTTATACCTGGCTTGAAACCATATTGACTGAGAATTTTATACAATCTTATAAAACAACTTTATAAGAATGAAGGTGAAATATGATTGAGGTAAAGGTGGTGATTGTAGTCATGGGCACCTGCTTCCCGGCAGTAGAGGTCACTGGGCAAAGTCCCTCTCAGAACAGACCTCTGGGAGGTGTTGTTCTGTTCTTTCCCATCTCCTCTCCTCATGTTGCCTGATCTTGCCTGGGTCTCATTCACAGCTTTAGTAATATCCATGGCTTCACAGATTTCTCAAGGGCCAATGGCCTGCATCTACCTTGGCCTCACAGTGGTTGGTTTCTTCCTGCAGGTGAAAAAGGAAGGAACTACACTAAGGTTGAATATGAAGGGGGAGATCCCAGAACACCCTTGGAATGGTGTTGTCAGAAAGGCCATGCAGGAGCTCACCCACCCCATGATTCTCCTTCAGCCATGTCTCCTGTGAGTCTGACCAAATTCCGTTTTATTCTGTCCCAGGCAATGAACGTGCCCAGGATCCTGATTCTTCAATCATGGATTCTACAGGCAAGACTTGGAGGGACAGGGATGGGAGAAGGAGTGGGGCCTAGGTGAATTATTTGAATTCGAAATCTGAGTGTGTGGAGTACTGCTCCAACTGTCATCACATAGAGTGGTGGGTCAGAGTTTGTTCTGGGTTCGCTTCCACAGCATGAAACCTGCCTTTTATGGAATTGAGTGATGCAAGATTTGTTCAAGTCCCATTCTCCCCCTCACTGCTGACTTTTTCTGCAATTGCATCTGAATGCACCTGGGTACCTGTGCTCCTGTCGCATTTCTGTCATGTTGTAAGGATACAGGGAGGCTGCCCTGGCACGCCCACGGATGCCTCCCTGGTGCTCACCTGTGTCCCCTTCTCCAATCAAACAGTAAAGTAAAGGAACAGGATTCTGACATTAGCAAAGAAGAAGGATTGCATGCTTTCTCATTCCAGATAAATTCTTGTTAGGTTCTCTGATTTCTTCTCACTCTCTCTCCTGCTTTGAGTCCTGATAATCTTAGTGCTGACTTAAGTACAAGATCTTGAACTTGTTAAAACAGACTATGGGGCTGACATTGTGACAGAAAAGGTTGAGCAATACAGAAAATCAAATAAACCAAATCTGACTCTTTGTAAAGATGAATGAAGTAGATTATTATGAAATGTATAAATAAATATGTATATATATTAAAATACTTGTATTTATATATATATATATGCATATATATGAACTCAAATAACCAGGATCAAAAAAAGGAACATCATTACCAACCCTACAATATTAAAAAGAATTTTAAAGCACACTGTGAACCACTGTTTGTCCAAAAGCAGATAACTGAGATAAAGTGGACAAATTCCTAAGTGAATACAAACTACTAAATCCAACACAAGGAACAAACATTCTGAACATGCCTATAATAAGTGAGGTGACTCAATCTTTACTACTTTTTCAAAACTCCCACAGAACAAAGTGCAGGTCCAAATGGCCTTATTGTTATGATTCAATAAAAATAAAAAGTCATATGGCAGCCCAGCCAACTACACTGCTGCAGCAAGTGTGAGATTTGACTGCCTGCATTTGAATCTCAGCTCTGTCAGTTATTGTGTTGTTGGACATGCAGGTGCTTCCTCAATCTTCTGCACCTCTGCTTCATATGTAAACCGGGCTGACAATAGTAGCTTTTACCTTACAGGATCAGAGGATATTAGAATACTGAACATTTGCAAAATATTTAGAACAGTGCCCAGACACATAATAAGCCCCACAGAAATGTTTGATAAGCAGGAAAACACTTTCTAAGTCTTAATAATTTTAAAGGAATAAATTCCATTCACAAACTCTTCCAAAAAAGCTCAAGTGCTATTTAGTTTATTCTGTAAGTGCACAAGCAATGACAGTGCATGAGGAAAGACACAGATCAGTATCTCTTATGACTACAGATTCAAAAATACTAAAAAATCTGAGCTGACCAAAATCAGCAACACAAAGCATAAGGTCCAGCGCAATAGCCTAGTGGCTAAAGTGTTTGCATTGCAAGTGTCTGAATCCCATGTGGGCACCAGTTCTAATCCCGGGCAGCCCTGCTTCTCATCCAGCTCCCAGCTTGTGGCCTGAGAAAGAAGCCAAAGCTTTGGAACCCCACACCCGCATGGGAGACCTAGAAGAAGCTCCTGGCTCCTGGCTTTGAATTGACTCAGCCCTGGCTGTTTCAGCCACTGAGGGAGTAAACGAGCAAATGGAAGATCTTCCTCTCTCTCTCCTTCTCTCTGTATATCTGACTTCCCAGTGAAATAATAAATAAATCTTATTTAAAATTAGACATCATAATGAAGTAGAACCTATCCAAAAATAGCAGATTATCTCAACAAAGCATGTTAATGAGCACAGAAAAATTGCTTACTACAGGTAAAACACTGGAAAACACAAGTGAAAAGTTCGCAAGAAGAAACCAGCAAAGTTGGAGGACAAAAGATTGATATGAAAGAAAAACATTTTGATTTTTAAATACTTGAACAATCAAAGTGATATTAAGAAATGCATCATTGCAGAAATGACTGAACTGCCATTTTATCTTTTATTTCTTTTCACTTTTTAATAAAAGCATTCATATTTTTCTTTTCTTTTAAAGGTACATGTTTTTATTTGAAAGGCTAATTTACACAGAGGAGAGACAGAGAGAAAGATCTTCCTTTTGCTGGTTCACTACCCAAACAGCCGCAAAGGCCAAAGCTGAGCATCTGAAACCAGAAGCCTGGGCTTCTTTCAGGTCATGGGGATACAGGGGCCCAAGGTCTTTGGCCATCCTTTGCTACTTTCCCAGGCCATAAGCAGGGAGCTGGATTGGAAGTGAGCTGCTAGGACACAAAACTGTGCCTGTATGGGATGCCTGTGCTACAGATGGAGGGTTAGCCTGTAACTCCACCACGTCAGCCCCTGGAATTGTTTTCTTTGACAAACATAAAACCAGATTTTTGAGTTCCTTGGATTCTTGAAATATTCCTTAAATGATGCTTCTTTTTGAGCCTGGGATCTTCACAGTTTTAGGTCCAGTTGCTTCAGTCCAGAGATCCAGCCAATCACAGCTATCTGGCCCCACATTTTAACCATTAGTGCAAGGAGATAACCGGCCAACAGAAAACAAGGTGAGGAACATTGTTCATTTAGCATGCACCTAATAGTGTCCCTTCCTGGGCAACTGGATACAAGTATGGGAGCCTCCCGCCACTCTGTGTGAACTGAGTGTGGTTACCTCAGTGAAGGAGTTCCCGCCTGACTCTCAGAACCACAAACAGGAGCACAGGATCTCTGCATTGGAGAGATTTCCGGACACACCATGGACCTGTGAGGAGACAAGAAAGTTTCAGATGGTCCTTCAACCCTCTGTGCATTTGCTCAGAATGGAGCCAGGGAAACGGGCAAGGCTGCATTAGATCCCATCTGGGGCACTGAGAAATCTAAATGTTATCAATCACATATTCCTTACCTTAACTAAAATATGGGACAGCAGTGTCTTGGAAAAGAAATATTTTATTCCAACCTAGTTTGGACACAGTTCAGAATCAGGCAGTCCTATTAATCCAATGTCTGGCAAAGGCTGGACATAGCTAGGGGGTGCAGAGGAATGATCATGTGGGGAGTTGGGACACATGGAGAAAACCTAGGCTGAATTAGGTTTCAATAACCAACCTTCTCTTGAGAATTACCACCTAGGGGACCATTTGGGTCAGGTTCTTCTGCTTGGACTCTTGTGACGTGGGTCCAGGTCATACTCGCAATGGTTTCTAGGTCAATGTTGCCTGTTCCCCCTTATAATGTCTGGATTGGACTTTCCACAGATCCTGAGGATGGGGACTCATGGGCTCTGTGGATCTGGGGCCCCCATCTTTCCGTCTGCTGCTCTCAGGGGCCATGGCGCTGAGAGAGACCTGGGCAGGTAAGTGAGGGCTCAGGAAGGAGAAAAGGAGACACCATGCAGCAGGGTTTCAAGACAGGGGTAAGCAGAGTAGAGCCCACATCACGAGGCAGGGAGCAACTCTTTTCTAACTTTAGAACTCAGGGTCTGACCTTGATTCATTCCAATGACAGCACCCCAGTGACAGACCTCTTCTTGGGCCCCACACCGCCAGACTGGAGAACAAGCTTACAACATAGACACTCTGTACAACACAGCACATCCAACTAGAGCAGGCCCCTCATCTTCCCTCTCTTTCCTGGAGTGCTCTTCCCAGTCCACCATCACTCTTTTTTTTATTATTATTATTTTTTTATTTTTGACAATCTTTACATAGTTGATTAGGGTAAAAAGGTTCAAAGGCTACAGGAAAATGGGTAAGACTATTAGTTCCATATTGTTTCCTTCATGTATCTGAGGTAAAGGGGGATTTAAGGGAGAAGCCCCACCCAGTCTCCCACCCACCCCAGGTCACTGATGTAGGGCATGCTCCAAGGGTCTTGTTCAAGTGGTTTTGATAGTTCAACAATTCTGATTTGCTCTCA